CAAATATAAACAGATATTGGTACATACATAAAAAAAAAGAAGTAAAAGAATACATATAAAAAAAAAGAAGAAAATACTTTAAAAATTAACATAATTTTTCGTAAGCGTATCAGAGTAATACAAAATGGTCACAACTCAGTTTATTGTTTTGCCCTCAAAAGAGCAAAACACAGACATTGCTTTTGCAATGTATTGGCAATCAATCTACAAATGAAACAACCATAAGCGCGTTTTCTCTAAACGAAAATCTATTCTTACTTTTACTCGTTCTTTGTTCACTTGGTATATAATAACTGTACCTTAATATGTACATATGTATTGTAGTTCTAAACAATTCTCCATTCTACTAAATGACCAAGAACAACAAGTCATTATTCACACGCCGAATACTAACCCAAAACAAACATTTGCACATTACGAAGTAATATAGATAGGTGCTTACCAACCCTATAACCCTTTCCCTCGAATAAAGTTCTATCAACTTTTACGTGCGTACATTTATATATACATGTATTTATAGCCCAGAAAATAAAACTTATGCGTCGCAGTTTAGGGTCGCAATGTAATAGGTACATACAACACTACTGTATCGAATACTAACGATAATAATAAAGAATATATGTATGGGATATTGTTTGAAGATTATAATAACAGAAAGATTTGCCTGTAATCCCAGCATAAACATATTTACGTATATCTTTAAAAGTTCTAGTACGTTTCGCTTCGTATCATGCAGAATTTACTTAAAAAAAATCATTTCAAGTCTTCAATCATCACAAAATTAATACGGAAATAACATGAACCTCTTTAAAGAATTATCAAAATTGGTACAAAATTTATGATGCAATCGTGTTACATTGTGACAAATTTTGATTTTGTTCCACAAAAAAGAAATACTGATTTGAATCGTGGCAAAACGAGTAATTATGATACAAAAATTAAAGTAATAAACTGATTTCAATTGTCTATGGAACTAACCGGAAAGTGTATTATTTGAGATAAATAAGGAATTTCTAAATAGATTCATAAATAATAGAGTTCTAAGGTAAAAATCATAAAAAAACCTTCTTCTTTTTTTAAAAAGTTGAAAATCAAAGATTTCGGAATAGAATAGATGGTATGCATAATTCACATAATGTAAGAAATAAAGAAGTAATAATTTAACAGTTAAAGTTGCATAGATTAATTTTCCAATTTCATCAATATATGGCAGTGCCGACTCTTAGATTACACAGTGATTGTTTTATGCAAAGATTTCAGAACAGAATACTATAGATGGAATGCATAATTCACATAGTATGTTGCTCGTTGTATTTAAGACATTGCCAATGCGTTAGAGAGGGATAGACATAGAAAAACGCATCTGCCTTTTGACTAATCCGTAGTAGTTAAATTCATCAAGATATGTCACTTGGTTTTATTGCTTGCATACTTTCTACATAAACTGTGTCAAATATATAATCTAGTAATGTAAAATTTGTTATTGACAAATAATTGACATATCAATATGAACAAAAATTTTACATACACATTTTCTATACACTAGCCTGCTATGAATTAAGAAAAATAGCAACTGATGGTGTATCTTCGTTCATATTCGTCTTCTTATTACTAATTATATTTGCAGAAGAAGAAAGGAGGTAACCATATGATTTACAGTTTTTATTTTATCATTCCTTCTATGTATTTCCTTGTTCTTAGTTGAAAACACAGAGGAATAATTTAGAATATGAAAAAGCTTTTTAAATTCATTTGAGAATGGACATTACCGTATCCTTGTATCAGAGACGGATAAAGATAGGGGTTATAAACTGTAGCTAGTTAATCTAACTTTGCGCAATACGTTACCTAACGTTCAGATTAATATTCATTTCACTATCTCAAACTGTTCCTTTAACTAGAAAAGGTTAAAGCTAAGGAACCAGTGCATAATGGAGCAGATACTTGAAAGTGATAAAACTCCTTTGGCTTTAGGATATAAAGATTTACAATGACAGATAGTTCCATGTCTACACATAAACGAAATAGTTATATCTACCTGATGTCTAGTATATACTGTACAAGCTTTGATTAGTTTAGAACTGGATGGTGTTCCGAGACATAACCATTTATTATATTAAGCGACTTCAAAACAAATAAGATTCTCAATTCGGCAGTGTATATGTTATCCGATATTAGTAATTAATTTTGACTAATGTTGATACTCTTATATTGGTCTAATTAACGTATAATTCCGGCATAGAATGGGCCACTTTATCTTTTCCTGTGAGCGTCGTTAGAGGCGTTTAAGGAAACTTAATGTTCAAGAGATAGGCAACAACGTCTCTTTTAAAAATATCACTAAATCCTAACTACGATTACTAACACGCCTACCAAGCATGGATACTACTGGTAAAATCCTCCTTATGGAGATGTTGCAGCAGTGGACAATTAACATCTGATTTAATAATAATATTGGTCTTATATATAGTTTTGATATGTCTGGACTTCTTTAATGCTTTCCACCATATACGATTTTTTACTTTTCACATTCTTTCTCTTCCTGTCTTCTTTATAATATCATCGATTTATTAAAAGAATGGTGCCCCTGGCTGCAATACATGTTTTAAACAAATATATTTATATACACCCATAGAGTTTAATTTACTTATCCACTGGTCCGACTTCATTATCTAGACGTCCAAGTATAACGTAAACTGGTATGATTTCACGCTCTGTATAGTATTGTCAAAGCTAATCCGCAATCAGCCAACCCTTCGTCAGCAGACCTATCCAGTTTGAAATTAATTACATTTATCTCGATATTAAATACGGATATAACATTTTCATCGTAAGCTGTTTTGAATTTATTCTGTTGTATCAGAATTTATGACTCAAATAGTACATTCAATAGATTCATCTATGCCCTATTAATTTAATAAAGGTGAAAGTTTGTAAGGATGGATAGATGGATAAATGAATGTTTATTATTCTTTAATGCAAAAACTACATTTGGATTTGAATGAAATTTAAGGCATGAGTAGGATATATCCTAATTTAGCATATAAAATACTTTATTACTATGAAAAATGAAAAGATGACTTTGTACAAAAGCCGATTGCAGGGGTCCGTCCTACTGTTGTTTCTGCCTCCTAGTTTTGCTTGCAATGCATATATGGTTATATTTTGGTTCGAAATGTTAGCATTTCTATGTGAAATTACAAAGTACTGAGACATTGTTTTTGATAAACCAGTTACAGTGTTATATAAAGGCCTCATAGTGTATCCTGTAAAGGCAGTGGCAGACTATCCAATGAACATAGGTCTCTCCTATAAAGGGGGATTTTGCCAGTAATTGCCACGGTTGGTAGGCGGGCTGGCAATCGCAGTTACGATTTAATAAAATTAGTGATGTTTTAAGTGAACGCTACTGTCCATCCTTTAAGCATTAAACTTCCTTAGTCGCCTCTTACGACGCCCACAGGAAAGGAAGGAATGGCTCATTCTATGCCAGAACTACACGGCAAATTTCATATCCATAATCAATGGTTAATGTTCATCCTCATCCTCGTGCCCTCCATGAGGGCTCTTAGATTTTTTTGCTATTCCAAGTTGAATAATTATTGTATTTACCAACAATGACGAGCGAAACAATGATGAAATGTGGCCTAAAATTCATAAAGGGAAAAATAACATACAGTTTAATTTGTGACTTGTATTCATAAAAATCCACTGAGAATAAATAAAGGCCTATAGTAATTCTGCCTATATGTGAATGATTAATTTCTGAATTTCGAGACAATAACAAATTCATGTGTTACATATACGAACAGTAATTGGATCGCTCTGCTTGGATTATACCGATAGTTACTTTGTCACCGTGTCTGCCGTTACTGTTGGTGCGCATGAGTAAATGAAGCTTATCGATTCGACAGCCATCGCCACGAAATTAATTAATTGGAATAGAAAGGGTTGTCAACAGTTGTTTTATTTTTTTATGTCTATTATCTCATAACTCTGTTAGTTCTAAACCTATTTGGAAATTTCTCTTTTTATCTGAAAGGACATACTTGCAGATTGGTCCCACAGAAAATTTATTAAGATGGGTTTAGTTTTTAAATGGATGATAGTTTAGTTTTTAAATCAAAGTAATTGTTTTTTTTTTTTACTTGATTATGTAATACTAGCTTCTGTCTGCGACTCTGTATGCTTGGAATTTGAATATAGACTTTAAAATAAATAAAAGTATCTTGATCAATAAACGAGGCCGGAAGAAGTCGCGGGTAAAAGCTAGTATATACGTACATTGTAACTTTTACGCTTAACTGATAATAACACCTCTAGAGAATCGGTTTATACATAACCCACGGAGTTTGCCTCCGTCGAAAGGATTATGTTGTCACCTACATAATATATTAGACTTTGACACCTGGATTTGCGACTTGAAACGGGTTGACAGCTGACAAACATCGCAACGGTAAAACAAAAGTATTCCAGCCCTTCAATTTCCAAAGTTCAACAAAGATTGGTGATTTAATCTAAAAAGTTGCGGATTGAGCAAGGCGTGTTGTAACTTGTTTCCAATTATATATAACTTTCACAATCAGAATTCAGAACTCGATTAGCAAATTTGTTGATAAACAGAATAAAAATAAAGAAAAGAAGCGGACATTTCGTACGGCGCTATCTTATTTCAAATTAGGTTGAATTTGAATGTAATTAGGGTAGATCTTCGATAACTATTTGATGTATTTTTATAAATACGAAAAGTATATTTTGAAAATATCATAATTATTAGATAATCACCATACAACCAATGCATTACGAATTATTTAAGTTTCTGATTAGAATACATTGGTTTTTGAGAAACTAAACAAAGAACATCCTGAGCATAAATCTATTCCACCATAACCGAGTCAATTAAAATAAATACTTTCTTAAATATATTAAGTATCATCACATAATAATTTATTTTATAAGTAGAAGAAGTTAATGGTATAGCAAAATAAAAGAAAAATAAATTAAAACAATATCTTTTTAATAATGAAAAACCTCTATAATATAAGACTTAATTTTTTAGATAAATAATGAAGTAACTACATGTAAAGTATTAGGTAACTACTAATATATTTAATGTACAAAACATATATCCAAAGTTCAGAAATTTAATAAAATTCAATAATGTAATTATTCATGTAGTTACTTTGAAAGTTATGTTAACTAATAATATTATCATATTTGCAACATTTTGTCAAAATAACCAAAATTACATGGGATCATACTTCTATAAATAACTGTAGCCTATCAAAGTTTTCGCTTTCCTCTAGCTCATGTGTAAGGCTGGTAACTTCATAGTCTCCATCTTTAGTTAATTTCATTAGCTGTTGTATTTCTAATAAAGTTTTCGCATTTGTTTCTGGCATAATCTTATTTATTAATATCAGAATTAAAATCATCATCAAGATTGATAGTAACATCATACCATGAACTCCTATCGAATTGGTTACAAATGGAGCTGATTTTATAATAGTATTACCAAATGCCCACAAATATGCGCATGTAAGAGAACTACCCACTCCTTTGTAAGACATAGGAAATATCTCACCTAATAAAGAAAAAGGCAAGGCTGTTGTTCCCAAAGACATAAACATCACAAACCCAGTGACTAAAGACAAAACAATCCACAGATAGTCTTTTGAAAATATCTCAAATGATTGCAAGAATAAAAGAATGGAGGTAAATCCTAAAAATATTATAGAAAAAGAACTTGTAAATAGGAATAAAGTTTTTCTTTTCACTATCTGAATTAATACACAAGCTGTTAAAGAGCAAACTAATGTTAATACATCTAAAATTATGGTTCCAATATATTTACCATTTGTTAGATTAAAAACATCAGTAAGTTTATAATTGGACATTATGTTTTCACCTCCGAACCCAATAAAACTGAATAACAATATCATTATAGAAAGTGGTTTTAGAAAGTCAGCTTTTAATAAAGATTTGAGATAATTTGTAACCTTTTCTCGTAAGTTTATTACTTTCATGGGTTTTAAAGCGTTTAGTTGCAGTTTTCTTTTTTGAGTTATAAGTAGAATTTCCAATTCCTCCATCGATTCTTCAGCAGTCCCTCTTAATGTTTGAAAGACTTCCGTACCTTTTAAAATGTGGCCTTGACTAATCAACCAGTACGGACTTTCTGGCCAAAAATATGTAGTAATTAAACTTATCAATGCCGTTATAACTCCCAAAGAAGAAACCAGTGTCCAATGCAAAAATATGCCAAAAATATGACTCAATAATACTCCAAGTGATATCATTCCAGTTTCCAACATCAAGAATATACCTCGATATTTGGGATCGCAGAATTCTGAAATGATAATGCTACTTATTGTAACAGCCCCTCCCAAAGATATATTATTCAATATATTGACGCAGAGTACGCTTATAAAATTTTTAGCATTGAAACTTATCAGCCAACTGATCAAGAGCGGTATTGTTGTTACGATGCTAGCTAGCCGCCTTCCTTTTTTCTGCATTACTATAGGTATTATTACAATTGATGGTAAAAACGCTATCTCTCCAGCGGTCTCTGAAAAATGAATTTATCTTATTACATAGGAACAATGATTGTCATGTCTTATTGTATTCCAAGTGTATTCGGAATAGAATATTATCACCAAACAAGATTTTAGTATAATAGTTGTTTATGCAGTCATAAATTTCGTGTCATTCAATGGTCTAAGTATTTTGTGCTAATTTAATATATTTTCTAGTAATTATTTCAAATTGTAAAATATAATTACCAATATATCCAAGTAACTTGCTGTTTGAACGGAAGCTGTTGATGTTATCAGCACCATTTTGTTCTAAAAAAATGGATAGATATCCGAGTCCTAAGCCGCAACTGACAATTGTGCTCAATACGCCAGTTACGACAAAAATCTGAAAATTGAGAGTTTGATATTTTTGATTTATAAATCTCATTCAATTAATATTATTTAAATAAATAAATAATGTCTAAAATGAAATAATTTAACTGATGATTTATTTAAATTCGAGTTCAATTTAAATAAAATTGTTTAAATTAGTAGGTTAATTTGATCATTTACGATGCTCAAGTTAATTCTTCAATTGTAAAATATTAATAGATAACACAACGGTTATCATTCCTCATCGAATGATCCATCTGCTTGTTTGTCAAGTTATTTATAATAAATACAAAAAAAAAAAAATCATTACCTTACTACCAGATATCTTTATTAGCTTAATTAACCTTGATCAGTACTATTAAATTTTACAGTTACTTACCTGACACTGTAAAGGAGACTTCAAAATTTCCATTGCGTATTTGTTACTTATTCACAAAAAAAAAAATATACACTAGATATTTAATCACATTTTAAATATTGTAAAATTAAGCAGCTATGTTACGCCACTGGAAACCATTTTCGTGTACTAATGCAGGTATATAATCATATATATGTTATATGGTATACAGCTGAATAAATATACGTCAATTTTATAAGAGACAGCACGTACCTATGTAGTGTTTTTATAATCATTAACCTAACAAGTGAATTTTGTTTCACGAAACAAAAACACTGTTTTTAATTGTGGCAAAATATTATTTTATTTAGTTAATTAAAATCTAAACTATTAAACAGATTTTAATAAAATTGCTATAAGGTCATTTGAAAGTATATCGTTTCAGATAAAAAAGAATTACCCAAATCAGTTTATAAATAACGGCCTTCTGAGGTAACAGTCTATATATACTTGAAGCGGGTATATTTGTTAAATTAAATAAGAACATGTTTGCAGAAGCAAAAGAGCAAATCCAAAGAAACGCAAGATACCCTAAAAAACTAGTGACCAATACAATTCCTAAAACAAGCCGTTTATTAAGAAATTCCTATATGATGTGTTTAAAAATCTTTATCATAGGTATATTGCTATGGATATAAAGGAACTGCCATTAAATACATTTAAAATTGTATTACGTAAATGGTTACTTAGCAAAATCTTTTACTCTGTTGACGAATTTTTCAAAAAAGAAAAGATAAATATCTAATATAGTTGTCGATGCATAAAATAGTCAGTTCCTCTCAAAATGAGACATTTGCATGCTATTCTGTAATGGCTAAATAGGCACGAGACTTTATATAATTTAAGACCACCGATACCTGCCCTATTTAATGCAAATAAATTTATTATTATTATTACCAACTTTAAAAAACCGAATTCAAAATGTTCTTTTTTTGAATACCCGAAATTTGTCCCTAATCGAAGTATGTATCTAAGAAAAATTATAAGTAGCAAGCACGTAGCAAATTTGTTATTCTCAAATGTCATTTAATTCATCGTTACAAGTTTACTTATGAGACAGTATTAAACATTCATTACTGTTGTATATTAAGGATTTATGAATGTGGAGGAAGCGAAAGAGGCTTGTTTACATCGAAGCATTTGGCATTCCATTGTTTCTGCCTTCCCTAATTGGAGACAGGCGTGACAGATATGTACATATGTACATACTGTTGTACAATAATTTAAGCCTTAATATTATAAACGTGAAAGTGAATTGGTTTTTACTTTTTACCATCTTAAATGCTTTAACCTATCACTCTGTAATTTGGTATACACGTAATATATTTAATGAAGAATCGCCGTGTGTATCCCGGCATAGAATGAGTCGTCTCTTTTATACCCATGGGATGGGTAACGGCGTCCAGCTTCTATTGTAAACTGAATTGTTAGCAGGCTTTTAAAACATCACCATATATATATATATATATATATATATATATATATATATATATATATATATATAATTTATTATAATATATATATATATATATATATATATATATATATATATATATATACTGCGGTTACCAACTTATCTGCCAAGCGTAGTAACTAAGGCCAAGGCAACTAAGGCAAATACCACAAATAAAAGGAGGCCTATGTTAATCAATAGTGAGTGAACGGCTGATATGATGACGATGATGATTTATATTATAATTACTTGGTTTGTATATTGTTTTATTTTTACAATACTTAGAATGGCAAACAAGCTTACGGCCCGCCTGATACTCGTATTTCTTTGTATTACATTTAACGATATTAATTCTATTATTAATTAAAATAATCCGCCGTTAACAAACAGTAACAATACAGATGCTTAATCTCATTTTGTACATATAAATTACAGCTTCTATTGTAAACTGAACTGTTTTCACTGAAACAGGCTTTCATAAATTGCCAGTAATGTTACGCTCTTAAGGTGTTCCATTGTAACGTTTCTGCATTGTTGAATGTTTGTTTCTAAAATTTGGGATGTGCAAGCAGGGTAAAGATGGGATTACGGATCAAGTCTTTTCCTTAAGGTGCATAACAGAGAAAACCTTAGCTCAACATCAGAAGGTTTTCTGCGCCTTCATTGACCTTGAAAAGGCTTATGATAGAGTGGAGAGGAATGAACTGTGGTCAACACTGGCAATGTATGGGGTGAGCATACGGGATTCAAATGCCTGTGTCAGAATTGGAGTCTATACAGACTGGTTTGGCAAATATTTTGAAAGGATCTAATTGTGGATTCAGGATGAATGAGTCTCTGTTTATCTTTTATACGCCGACGACCAAGTACTTTTTGCATTCGGAGTATGAATTACAACAAATACTATAATTATATGCAAGAAAAGGTTAAAATACGAGTAAATGCGAAGAAGTATGAAAGTTTAACGGCATGCCAGATTATGATAGGAGATGAAAAAGTAGAGCAAGTGAGTGAGTTTCTATATTTAGGTTCTTTGTTTACGAGGGATGGGAAGTGTGACAGAGATATTGAGAGGAGAGTAAAAGCAAACAGTGTTAACGGTACAATATTTCTCAAAGAAATTTTATATCTTTAAATATATATATATATATATATATATATATATATATATATATATATATATATATATATATAAAAGTTTTTTTGATTACTTATCTCTAATTATATATCTTGATTAACTATCTCTTCTATACTTAATATGTAAATAAATTATAATATTACATTTAAATTCACAATACTGAGAAATTGAATTAGGTAATTCCTGGTCGAGACAATAAATATACTATTTTAAAATGTCCAAGTAATTCGATGATGTTCGCTTGCATGAATGATGAACTAGGTGTTATTTATTTATTAATTCATTAGTACACATATATATGTACATGGCGGACTTAATGCTAAAAACACTCTCTCCTAGTCAACCATAGGGAAGTGTCAAAATACTCTAATGTGATACTAATAATTATTGATATACATACATACTAAAATTACATATATAAACGAATAAATATATATAAATAACAAATATACTTACACATATATAATATGTACTATATTATACACGAAATTGAGAATAATATAAAATATTTACTGCTCGGATAAAATAAAAAAGTGAGTATGGACATTTTTGTATGTTATCTTGCGGAAGTACATATCACTGGTTATTTGATTACAATTATTTTGTTTAATTCCACTACCGTTATCGAATGGTAGCGGAATTAAACAAAATAATTCTAATATCTTATCTTTACAATATATGCCATTTATTTATACAAAAATTGTCTACATTTTTTTTTTACACAACTTAGAATGGCAAACAAGCTGACGGCCCACCTGATGGAAAGTGGTAATCGTCGCCTATAGTCATGAGCTGTCCCATGGACATAACAGAGTATACTGTTTTGCCCATGATACCCCCCATGCGTTGCATTCCTGAGGACTCAGGTGTTATTCCTCTGTACCTAGTAAATTCACGCTAAACATGGGAACACGTCTCTACCACTTGTTTCTGCTAAGCTGTCATTTCTTATTATATGTAAATTAGAATGGCAAAAAACTAAAGGCCTACTTGATGGAAAGTGGTAATCGGCACCTACAGTCATGGACATAACAGTGTATACTGTTTCACCCATGACACCCCCCATGCATTGCCATTTCTGAGGACTCATGTGTTATTCCTCTGTGCCCTGTAAGTTTACTGCTATATCCCACCCTTCAAACCGAAACACAGCCATGCAAGTACAACTGCTTCACGGTAGAAACACGAATGGGACAGAGGTAATCAAGCAAACGAGTTTTGTAATAAGTTTTCCTCTGGTAAAATCAGTTTTATTTAGGAAACAAATTGTTATCTGTTACGATTTCCCTAGATTCTAAATAAATTCTCATTATATATCAATACAATACTGTTTTCCAACATACTTCAATAAGAACAACATTTTTAAGTCGGCTGTATTTTTTTATATGTTTGTAACGTCATAACTCCGTCAGTGGTAAACCGATTTGGAAAATTCTTTTTTTTTATCTAAAAGAATATACTTACACACTGGTCCTATAGAAATTTTATCAAAATCGGTACCGTAGTTTTGTTTTTCTCAATCGCGAAAGAGGGCCTCGTCGACGATTCACTATCGTCATAAAAAACACGAACACTCTGTCAAGAGTGTACGACTGAAGAGAGGCGGCGGTAGTCACTTACCATCAGGTGAGCCGCATGCTCGTTTGCCCCCTGTGTTGTAAAAAAAAGAGTTTAGTTCTTAAATAATAAAAAAACTGGTTTTAAAACAATTAAAGTCGTTCCCAGTTAAAACAAATACTAGTTACAACACTTCACTATTCAAGTAAGTTAAACAGGAAAATCAACCACGACTTCCTATTAGCTTCCAACTGAAATAGTCTCCGCAAATATTTACCAAAGCGGTACTGTTCCCGTCATAGTTTTGTTTATTACTTCCTCACTAGCCCTAGGGAATACGGATTGGATTCTCTCCGAACAATATCCATCCGTTGTCGTATATTTATAATATTAGGAGAGATTTAAAAGAGTAACTCTTGAATCTTTTGCGGGTACTTCTCGACAGATAATAATTTTCCGAACTCTGTATTCATAAAAAAATGACGACTTAAAAATGCTTGTAAACAAATTATTTAAGTTATTAGATATATTTTATGCAACTTAAAATGACAGATAAGCTGACGGTCCACCTGATAGAAAGTGGTAATTGTCGCCTATAGAAATGAGCAGTACCATGGACATAACAGAGTATACTGTTTCGCCCATGATACCCCCCCCCCCCCATGCGTTGTCATTCCTGAGGACTCAGGTGTTATTCCTCTGTACCCTGTAAATTCACTGCCATATCACACACACACACACATGCCCTTCGAACCGAAACACTTTTTCTTTGTTTCGTTACGTTTCGTTTCGTTTCGTTCGCTTCTTGAACTTTATTCCATTTTGAAGGCGATGGCAACAATGATGATTATTTTGTACTTATCAACAATTCAAACAAAGATTAATTGATGTTATTTGTTCCAGGGCTGCTATCATGGGACTCTGGAGAGCACCAGGTCGACTTGGAGAAGGAATTGGCCACCCTCACGGCGCAGGCACCCGAGGGGGAAGAGGCCAGATATGGTGAGTCACATTTTATTAATAATTTCCAACAACAATCTTCCAACAACCTTGTTGTTATGTACTTTTATATTCGAAAATTGAAATATATATATAATAATTATACTGGAACTTATCCAAACGTCTACTGAGCCCAAATATATATATATATATATATATATATATATATATATATACAAGAATTGGTCACGATGGTTTCCAGGGGGAACCAAGTGGAGGTCCCTAATAACGCATATTGCTAGCAATGGGGCTGTCAAACTTCATTGCTAACAATCCTTTTACCCCGTACATACCTAGTAACACATTACGTCTACACATATCGAATTAAGTATAAATAGTACCTTAATATTTTTCAGATCACTAGATCCAAAAAGAGTGTATTAAAAATATGGCAAGTCACTTTAACGATGCATTATTTCTTTTCTTAACGATTTAACACAGTGTTGTGGACAATTTATACGGTACTTATTCTTCAAAATCGCCTCTTTACCTCGTTACGACCTCTTTCTTTGCCTCGTTATGACCTCTTGAGATTTTCGATTCTCTTGTGATATTTGTCAACCACATTTGTCTTGAGAGTGGTGATCGAAGTTGTTTGTTGTATAAGCATTATTGTATGTTTATATTTGAAATAAATATTAGATTATAAAGGAAATAATAAGGTACAGGCAGACTAAACCTTGAAATTATTCAACGGGCTTTAGAGAGAGAGAGATAACCGCAAAAGAATCAAAGTAACCGACATAACCCAAAGGATAAGCAAGCTGAAGTGGCAATGACCTGGTTACGAAGCTTGAAGAATCGACAACTAAAGGGGAAGAAAGGTTCTTGAGTGGCGAATACAAGGCAAATGCAATGTAGGATGACCTCTCACTAGAAAAAATGATGACATGAAATGCATTGCAGGGAGTCAGTGAATACAGGTGGTTTAGGACCGTTCCTGACAGTCTATAGGGGAGGCTTATGTCCAGCAGTGGACGAATAATGACTGATGTAATGATGATGATAGGCAGAAATGGCAACGTATGGGGGGTATCATGGGCGAAACAGTATACTCTTTTATGTCCATGGTACTGCTCATGTCTATAGGCGACGGTTACCACTTTCCATCAGGTGGGCCGTCAGCTTGTTGTATATAAAAAAAAGCTTGAAGGGATTACTTCCAATCAACCTTGAGGACCCGAAAAAAGAAAATGTATATGGGCTTTTTTTAATGGGTGATAATGAAATGGTAATCCCGCCTGCGCTATCGGTGTACACTGGCGGGGCACCAGTGAGGGATTATAGATGACGATGAAAGCAGGTCCAAGAGCCCATCGTGACGAATTCCACTAGAATTAACCACTATAATTTCCAGGGAAAACAGCGTGGAATTTGACCTGATAGGGGATTGTTTATAATGAGGAAATCAGGCACAATACTAATAATCCCTTTCCCCCGTATCTATGGGGTTAGTACCTATGTAAATATTTATTCACGTTAAATATAATTTCTTAATATTGTTATGTAAAACAAATACATTTTGCTCAAAAAAAACAAGGCAAATACACACCGATCAACGACAACATATAAAATACAACCGATTTAAGAACACCCACTTTTTTGAAGTCGGTTAAATAATAAGGAAATCAATTGTCACAAAATCCAATTAAACATAACACGGATTTTAACCCCGTCGAATTCAAAATTACGTGTCAAAGTCGGTTCAGGGGGTGACTTTGACGCTATTGAATTGGGGTCAAATTGAATACCCATCGAGTACACGTCCAATAGACCTTATCTTGCCTTATATTTGACGTACGTATATTCGACGTGATTTTGAATTGAACCTAATTCCATTGTGTCAGAAGTCACTCTACAGAATTGAAGAAAAGATCGAGTAACAAAATATGCAGACGATTTAAAGATTTTCTGCCTTTGGAAATGAGGAATTTGACTACCTTGACGGTGTAGTGGTTTAACACGCCTAATTATCCAACAGTAACGGGTTCGATCCTCGCTCAATACAAATATTTTTGTTCATAAGTAACGCAGTGTAGGATAACGCTCCACTAGATGGGGTGACGACCTGACAATCATTGTAGGGAGTTAGTAGATGCAGGTGGAATGATAACGATGATATATAAAATTGTAGATATAAATATGTACTATGTCAGTTAAAATAAAAGTTAATTAAGCTATTATACCCATAATAAAAATTTTGCTTAATTTGAATCTATGAAGATATGACGTAATAGGTATATAAATAAATATATACCTATTACTCTATAAAATTAATATGGTCCTCTCTATTTAAATTAAATTAGAAATCGAATCAGAACTAGGAATTCTAAGTTGATCTTATCAATTTATTTTACTTACTTTTCTATACTATATTACTTATTTTACTTAATCTTGTAAAATAGACATAGCAAAAAATTCAAACGAATTGAAAATTAACCTACTTTTTAAGAAGTCTCTAAAAACGAAAACCGTTTTACAAAGTGTTAAATATAAAGTTTCTGTTTCCATTAGTGATCAACATTGTGGGATTACTCTGCGCTCGCTCGACCAGAAATTGCGATAAGCCCGCCAAACGCCACCGAGCTTCGTCGTTTTATTGCCCATTCTCAAAGCAGTGAACGATTATGTATTGTTTTAACAGAAATTACACTTTATGCCGTTCGTAAAAAAGTCCTTTTTAAACGAAAGTTTATATACACTTGGCTCTCTATTCGGAATTTTATGGTTGATTCCCAATTTTTATGTATGGTATCAGAGTTTTGTTTTTGTTTTGAAAATAGAATTTCAATATTCATATTATATGCTGAGTTAGGTCCTTTGCACAAACACTGCTTTCATTTTCTTTTATACAACTTAGAATGGCAAACAAGCTGACGGCCCACCTGATGGAAAGTAGTAACTGTCGCCTATAGACATGAGCAGTACCATGGACATAATAGAGTATACTGTTTCGCCCATGACACCCCTCATGCGTTGCCATTCCTGAGGACTCAGGTGTTATCCTCTATACCCTGTAAATTCACACCATATCCCACCCTTCAAACCGAAACACAGCCATGCAAACACAACTGCTTTACGGTTGAAACACGAATTGGACAGAGGTACACAAGCAAACAACTTTTGTACAAAGTCTCCCTCTGGTGTTTTTTTAATATATTTTTCTTCTTTTATTCTAATTTCAAAATAGAATAATAATGTTTTTATATAATTATGTAATCTTAATTTCTACGTTATTTTGTCATATATAACATATATAATTTATATTATTTTCATAAAAAGAGATATTATTTAAGTGAAAAGTTTGCTTTTTAAATAAATAAATAAAAAAAAAGCCATGGTACAGTAGTTTTTAACTGCAACTTCTTCAGCGTGATCAGGACACATATAGTGTGTATACTAAACGAAACTATTGGTTGGATCACTAAGATGCTAAAAAAATGCAAGGTAACAAATAAATTTACAATCACATTTGTTATATTAGTGAGAAAGTTAAAATTAACTGTAAGCAATAAATATTATAGAATCTTTACGTCACTTCGTAACTCCGTCAGTTGTAAACCGATTCGTTAAATTATTTTATTATCTGAAAGGAAATACTTTACACATTGGATTTCATTAGGAATTTTATCAAAATCGATTCATTACTTCGGTCTTTTAAATAATATAACTGCTTTTGCACATAACTGTAGTCGATTTATTTTTGGGACATCGATATTAAATTATTTATACCATAATTATACCGTTTTGTAGTTGGTTTTTTACGTAATAATATAGTTTTATTTTTGTCATAATAAAGGTAATTTTAACTTTTATACCCTTACTTTGCGTGATTTATGGTACGTATGGTTCTTAAACCAAATAAATTATTTATTTAACACTTTATATTGAATGAATTAATAAAAGATTTTCAATATGTAATCTCAACCAGGCAAACTTTATCATACTTTACTTAAACCATTGCGTTAAAATAACCTATGACTTACTCCATCCCATATAGAACATGTACATTAAATTTCATAACCATTGGCTAAGCTATTAAAACGCTAAGAAGAAGCGAACAAATTCACTTTAATATTTATTATATTAGCAAAAATTTCCTTAGACAATAAATTAATAATCGACACAGACAAGGACCCATCTACTATAACGTCTAAACGCCTAATAGGTACCAAATTCTGTCCAATTCCCAAATTGTGTCTCGAACAATTCCCTCAGCCGAAAAGGGGTTACATTCATCCCCAAATATTTTATTAGGAATGAGATTACCGGCTGGCAGCTGGAAATAATTGGGAACCCTACATACATATGGATGAAACCTGTCGACGGACCTCGATTATCAGAACATATATTCTTTGTTCATTCCGTTTCGGTTTCACAGAAACAGTTATGTTTGCATTTTTAAAACAGAATTATTTATTTATTTATTTATTTAACTCTTTATTGCACCATAAATAAAAATATACAATGACAAGTGAATAATTCAAATGAAATACAGTAACATAAATACAGATTGAAATATACACATAAAGGTACAAAAGGCGGTCTTATCGCTAGGGCAATCTCTTACAGACAACCTTTAGTTAAGGGAGAACAGATAGAAAAGGGCAGGTGGCGCAAGAGTGGATCAACAATTTTCGTGCACAGAATACAAAAACATGTAATGCACAAAAATATCAAATACACATATACATATAATTTATTAAACTACTTACTATAACAATATATATACATACATACATACACATACACATACATATATATATATACATACATATACACATATAACATTCATACAAAATACATAAACATACACATATAAATACATACATAGCACAAGGAAATATGACAAATCTAGTCCAAAAATTACAAAGAAGTGGAAAAGAGTAACTACAGTGAAAGAAAATGTGATTTGACTTGTCCTTTAAACGAAGCCAAGGATTGCGCACTCTGTATAGACGGTGGCAGCGAGTTCCATAGGCGCACTGCCTGAACGGAAAAGG